TGGTTCCCACAACGTATACAAACGAGAATATAGATAGTACTCTAGAACAGGCCTTGAGATCAAAACCGTGTTGGCAGACCACGTACAAAACCGGAAGACGAACCCATTGGTCTGTCTTTGAAATGGTCGTGTTCTTTTCATCTGGTTTGCCTTTGTCAACTTTCGTTGTACTGGCGTGTTGGTTATCCCCCTTGCACCTTGTCTGCTTGATTAGGGTTCATCGTTCATCCTCTCATTCTTTTCTTGCCTCCGGGCAGATATTACCATAGAGTAGACTATCCGTCTACTCGTGTTCTTTTGTGTTCATATAGTTGAAATCCTGGTTGGTATTCAGTCATTCCTGGTTCCTTTGTGTTCTGTGCTATATAAGGAAGTGCATCACTTCTGCTCTCACTTGAAGTAAAATATTAGTCCCTTCGTATAACCCGCGGTTGTCATCGGACTCCACGCACTCGCGAAGCCGCCATGGGGAAATGGGCGAAGTGCAACCGGACGGAAGTAATGGGAGAAGGACCCTTAATTCAGAGGTATGTGCGACGTTAACACACAAGCCTGTAATTATTTAACACTTACTGTTTTTTGTTATGTAGGGCGTTCGTGAGAAATCCGCGCCCGGCTTTTGGCACCGCAAAAGTAAACTCGACATCGTCGAATGCTCAAACTCCGTCAGAACGTAGCCCCAGCCGTTCGAGCAAGATGCCTAAGTTTCAGCACCAATCGTTATTTGATTCAAAAGTTAGAAGGGATTTTTTTTTTAATTTTCAATGGCAATTTCCGCTAGATTTAGCGGGAAGCTTTTCCGCTAGATTTAGCGGGGAAAATTTTCCGCTAAACTTAGCGGGAAAATTTCTCCGTAATGCACCGCGCGGTTACACCAACGCCGACGCCGACGGCGACGCCGCTCAAGTCGGAAACGGGCGCCGAAGAGCTGCGCTCTAAAATGGGGCCCATTTTTTACCGTTTTCGGTTTCTGGCGCCATAGAGCTCTATGTATTCGAGAGCTCCGTCAGCCGGCATTTTTCCATTGAAAATTTCAGAAAATCGCTTATAACTTTTGAATAAGATAACGGTTGGTACTGGAACTTCGGCATCTTGCTCGAACGGCTGGGGCTACGTTTTGACGGAGTTGGAGCTCCCCGCAATGTCTAGTTTATTTTTGCAGTGCGAAAAGCCGGGTTCGGATTTCTCACAAACACCCGGTATATTGACATTATGGAGCATCAGACATCTCCGGTTTGGGAAAGGGGGGGGGGGGCGATGTGTTTGCAGGGGTTTAATTAAACCTCTTTTCTTTATTATAGACTGGCTCGCACCCTCTACGTCAGGGGATATGACCTCTTACAGCGCCTGCAAATCGGAGCTACGAGCACACGTGGGCACACCGAAGAACGGCAAAACATGAAAAGAGCATGGCATTGTCCATAGCGCTGCCTCATCAACAAAACCAACTGGAGACCTATGTCACTTCACTGCCCATGCTTCCAAGCAACACACGCGAAATCAAAATCGCCGAGTACCGCCTTGTTGCGCATATCGCCCTTCTCGGATCACTGGCCTCCGCGGGTCACTTTACTCCTCTGATCAGCGACACCTTCAGAGACTCATTCTTTGCGTCATTACTATTCATGGGCAGGACCAAGTGCACGGCTCTCGTCACCAATGTGCTTGGACCAACTTTCAAGGAGCTGCTTTTGGACGACGTAAGAGGTGGCAAGTTTTCCCTTGTTCTTGATGATAGTGCGGACAGGCACGTAGCCAGGATTTTGTTTCGGGAAGGGGGGGGGGGGGGGGGGGGGCGCCTATAACAAAATGCTGTATGAGGGGGAGCGGGGAGAGGAGGTCCCAGCAACATCGAAGAATTCGGGGGGGGGGGGGGGAGGGGGGGCCCGGGCCCCATGGGCCGCCCCCCTGGTTATGTGCCTGAGTACGGACGTTTTTTCGACGAAAGAGCTGGCTGTTGTTGTACTACTCTCGCGAGAAGAATGCTTTTTGTACTACTTTCCTGGGGCTAGTCCCAATTCTGGATGCCTCATCTAACGGCCGCCATTTGAACGAATTTCTAGACAGCTGCAAACTTTCCATCGGTGACTGTGTCGGAATCGGTACTGATCGGTACTCTAACCTTGTGTTGGTCAGGTTTGTTTGCCACTTTCTCCATCTTGTTTAAACGAGGCAGTGGACGTACTGCCGACGCAGGTTTATTATCTAGTGCGAGAAACATTTAACTGGTTTCCCATTCTCCAATGTGACAAGAGTTTTATAAGCGGATTTATAGTGCCATTAACTGTGGCTTGTTGCCGAAAAAGATGGTAGGTGTGTGCGCGACTCGATGGCTGAGCACTACCGGTGCTCTTCCTGCGATACTTAACCAGTGGACGGAACTTGAGACCCACTTCGATGTTCCAAGGACAACTGAGCGTTGCTATTTGGCTAAAAAGCTCGTCGAGATGTTCAATGATGGCCGGAACTTTTTGTTTGTCCAGTTCCTAAGCACCATTGTAGACGAATTTGACAAGCTTAACAGAGTGTTCCAGAGCGAAGACCCAGATCCATGGATCTGGGTCTTCGCTCTGGAAGATGTGAGTTCGTTCGTGAAGTGTTTACTTCATCGAGTTATTCTCCCTGCTCACGCCCCTCCTGACTCGGATCGGGAAGGCCATTTTTTACATGTTAGGGCTTGTCACATGGGAAGTCTTTTCCGCGATGATTTGGGAAAGTCGTCGCTCAGCGAGGACGAGAAGGCTGCCATTCTCGAATGGTGCCGTGCCTTTTTGTTTGCATGCATTAAGAGTGTCCTAAAACGTCTGCCTTCAGATTTGAAGTTATTAAGTGAGCTCCGTCTCTTCCACTGTAACCGTATTAGCAAGTTTTCTTTTGATTTTTGTTCAAGGCATTTTCCCAGCCTATGAAGTCGTCCGATGTTTTCGCTATGGAGTCAGAGTATATCGTCCTGTAATGTACGCTCCGTGACTTCCGTGGCGACTCCGTCACGAAATTCTAGAAGAATCTGAAAGAAGCCACAAACAGTGCTGGATCGTGCATGTTTCCATTGCTATCGCAACTGGCTGTATCACTGCTTATGTTGCCACTGTCCAACGCTGCAGTAGAACGCGTGTTCAGCCAAGTCACCCTCACAAAGATGGACTTCCGAAACAGGATGGCGATGGAAACACTGGAGAGTATTTTGTATGTTAAATTCGGACTGTGGGGCAAAGACCAGTGCTGTAAGGACTTTGTTCCCTCAGAGGTTTTTCTGGTACGTTTTAATACCGCAGTAATGTACCCATGCTCTGCCGTTTGTTCTGCGAACTAGTGATGCTAGTTGTTTGAATATTTCTATTTGATATGTAAAAAATGTATTGTATCTTGTGTTCAAAATAAACGTTTCAAATTATCAGTTTCTTTTTAGTTTTTTTTTTTTTTTGGGGGGGGGGGGTTATTTCGGGTTATTTTTCTGGATCGACATTTGCCTATTTTTGGGCTTTATCTCGTAGAAGTTTGGCGGGTTAAAGTTCAAACATTTGGCAACTGGCCCACAAGCAGCTTCTGGATTCGTATCCGTCCGTGCCCCTGACCTCTATGTCTATTTGCTGGATCGCGTTTGACCAGCTCCGCCTATGAACGGGAATGCGGCCACGGTCGGCCATCTTTTTGGTAGAGTTAGATCATCTCTAGCCATCATAGTAATATGGCGGACAGCGCTATGGCGGCAGGCTGCCATAGAAATAGCCGTGGGTCTAGTGCACTGTACCGCGGGTGCTATTTCGTGCTTGATTGAAATTGTTCAACAAAACAAATTCTTGAAACCCGGCGTGAGCGGTAGCTTCATCTTTGAGGACCCGGCGAAAGTTCAACGAAAGCGCAGCACCGGGGGAAAGCAGCGCAGCTTGCATCGAAAGCAGACGCCAGTACGGCGCTGTACGCTTTCGATGCTTCTTTCGATGCGACTTTTGATGCGTGCTGTGCTGCTTTTTCCCGGTACTGCGATTTCGTGAAACTTTCACCGGGTCCTCAAAGATCGGGCTACCGTTCACGCCGGGTTTCAACAGTATGTTTCGTCGAACAATTTCAATCACGAACGAAATATCACCCACGGCTATTTTTATGGCAGCCTGCCACGACAACTGCCACAACGCTGTCTGCCTTGGATGGATGATAGTGGCTGCACCAGCTGTACATGGACTAGAGGTAATATAACTCTACCAAAAAGGTCGCCACGAGTGGCAGCATTCGCGGCGCGGGCAAACGCGATCCAGCAATTAGTCAAAAATCAGTAGTGAGCTCGCACAGTTTTTCTTTTTTTTTTTTTTTTGTAATGTGCATTCCATACCGTCTAGAGTTCCGGTCCTAGCTTCCTAATAAGGATAGCTCGTCCTGAACATTTGCTCTAAATAGCGCACTCAAACATGGCCTGCGTAGAACATAACCTATTTGCAACTAGTTTTTTTTTTTTTTTGCACCAAATTTAGTAGTGCCATCTATTGAGTTACCCCGGCATACTTCCGGTTCACGTATATCTCCTAAATTTTTACTCATAATTCTTTTATCATAAGATCGGATTAAGTCTGACACTGCTATAAGTGCCCTTTTCCAGAAGATAGCGCGTGTATTTGATATCGCAAATACTGCGAAACCCGCCGTCAAGTTCAGCAGCGGAAGTGGTTGGGGTCTTTTTGCACAGTGGTGCCGCCGTGTTTCAACTCACGCGAGAAAAAGCGAATAGGGGCCGCTTTTATTCCCATCAAAATGGCTGTCATCGTGATAATCGTCGTAGAACAGGAGTACGAGGTTCGGTTCCCGACGCGTCCGTAATTCTAGTTTTGTAGAACACGAGCAATTCGAGAGCATTGCGTCATGCTTCCACGTCAGAAAGGTGTAAGCAAGCATCTTTATCCTGAAACCGATCATCCAGGAGCTAGGAAGCGCGATTCTAACACTGCCACAATCGCTGCAAGTTGTGAGTTGAATGGAACATTGCATGCAGCAGGGATCCGTGTTACCTGTCATGGAGGCAAATCCGATAGTAAGCGGCAAGCACCTGTTGGCAACGAAGAAACGCAGAAGGAAATTGTCCACGCTATTTTCTTCCTTTCTGGACTTCTTGTCGCGATGAACTCCTCTAGCTTGGGCCAGGATCTTGTCGGCGTGCACCTTGCGACCTGCCCAGACGCCCACGAACAGGATGGCGATGTAGTAGAAGATGATGCACACCGCTGCGAGCGTGTTTATGGCCATGGCCGGGGCCCGATCTGTCCACGTCGGCACCAGTCGGGACTCGTTCAGGAATATTAACACGCGCTGTGTGCACGGGCTCTGATCCACGCGCGCCTTGCAAAACATCGTTCCAATAAAAAAAAAAAAAGAAAGAAGAAAAAAAAAATACGTGCGTGGTTGCCACGTAAAAAATAAAACAAAATCCTTAAGTTTTTGTTTTCAGTTTTATGGTTACAGTTTTAGTTATAGCTATCTGCCCCTAGATTCGGACGGCTCATCAGGTGTAAAGCAGAACTACGCTTTGTTTTACACTTATACTTTAAATAAAACGAGGGCTACGACCGCCAGGCCAAATTAATGGGAGGCGCCGATGCAGCCCTCGCGCATTGGAACTGCTAAGAACCCTTGCTCTCTACCCTTGAAAAATTTGAGTGCGTGTGTATCTACCACGACCAACTCTATACTTACGACCACGACATCTGAACACTCGTATGGAAGATCCTGCTTCCGGTTTGTTTGTTTGTTTGTTTGTTTATTATGAGGTGTCGGGAAAGGGGGAAACCAGGAGATGTGTGGGCCTGAATTAATGGGCAAGTCGCTACCTGGTTGTTGGGGAAAAAGGATGGAAAGAGGGAAGATGAAATTATATACAAAAAGAGGAGTTAAAATGTCAATTTTTAACAACTAATCTAGTTATAAATATCCGCCCAGTTAGTTAGTTATCAACATAGTTCAAAGCCTTTGGTTAGGGAGCGAAGTGGAAGCAAATCACAGTCTATCCGCCAGCCCAGTGTCACGAAGAAAGCGCAGAAGAGTGCGGAAGGCTTTCTCCGCTGTTCCTCTGGTTCCTCTGGGGTTAAAAAGTTCTGTAATAGTTCCATATGGCAGTCCAGGTAGTGTGTGGTGATGGAAAAGAGTTCTTCTGGCCTCTTGATGTCTGGAACAAACCAGAAGGGCATGTTCTGTGTCCTCTGGGTCGGGCAGGTGGGGCAGTTAGGATCCGCTTTGCGACGCATCATGTGGAGCCGGATGGCAGCGTATGGGCAACCAGCCCGAAGCCTGTGGAGAAGGCTTGTCTCCGCCTTAGGGAGCTTGGGGGAACCACGGGGGGTGGCCTCCCCGGTGCGAACCCAGGATGTGGATGCCGTTCTGCGAGGATCTCATGCATGAATCGATGAGCCTCTTTGAAGCGATCCAGTAAGAAGGTTGGGACTGGATCGTCATGTGCCTTTGCAGCCAGCTGGTCAGCCCGTTCGTTGCCAGGAATCCCGACATGAGACGGGATCAATTGCAAAGCAAGGCACCATCCCATGTCTTCAACTGTCGCTGCCTCAGATGCGACTCTCGCCAGCAGTGGGGTTCCATTATGAAGTCCCTAAAGCTGCTGAAGAGCACCTCTTGAGTTTGTGAGTACGACAGTTTTTGTTGGTGACGAGGTGTTTCCAATAGACTCAAGAGCAGCCCAGATGGCAACGAGTTCTGCCGTGGTTGACGGCGATACAAAATTTAGCCTGCCCGATATATCATAGCCCATTTCTGGAATGGTAATCCATACCATGGCAGTCCGCTTAGAAGGTTAATTGAGGACTCTGAATGAACATGAACCCAACCTTTGTAGACTTCGTCTATGCGCTCAAGAGCGACTGGGCGAGCGACAAACGCTGGGACATTCGCCTTGCGCTGTGGGATTGGGAGCGTCCCATGTATCTCCAGGGGAGGGCGCGTGGAATGTGGTGGTTGAGGAAGGATAAATTCGCTAGGAGCTCCAACCTCGAAGTCGAATCGTCTTGCTTGGCGCCCTAGGTGAGAGTTCGGCCGGGCAAAGAGATGTTTACGGATTGTGTTCCCAGTGAAGAGACTGCTCATACGAGCGATAAAGCCCCTCTATCCTGGGAAAAGTGGCGCCATTCATTGTTGTAGAAATGCTCGAGGTCCGTGCCGCGCGCCACTTCTGGAAAATTCATGGCGTCTGAAATCTAGCTCAGTGCTGCGCTCTACAACCATGATCTTCCCAAGGGCTGCACGTTGCATGTGCCCCGTGCATCACCGAACCTTGCCAAACCTTGCGCTACTTTACGAGCGATGTTGCCCAGCGCCCTCTCTTCAAGTCTGAAACACAGCAGCCACCCTTCCGCTGCAACAATTGTCGCCACGTTCTCTGCTGAAGGAAGGAGTCGCAAGCAGCTTCGTAGTGCCTTTTTCCGGCAAAGGGCAGAATTTTAGCGCTGCCTATACTCTGTTTCACCTTGTGTTGTACCGCAGGAAAGGCTATAAGCGCGAGCTCCTTGCTCTAGGGCACATCTCGGCGGCACAAGCTCCCGTGCACCAAGGGCAGCTGCCAACGCTATGAGCTCGCGCTTTTACCCTTCGCTGCAATACAGCATAAGGTGTAACGGAGTGTAGTGAGAGGCGTTTTCACTAGGCGCAACAAAACTCGGTCCTCCTACCTCCTCAACTTCTATTATCCGTGGGTGCGTGCCAGCTGATCGCGCTTTCTGCTTCCAAGCGCGTTCACACTGTAAAATGTTTTTCTCTATGCAAAGGACAGTGAAGGAGTCCAATTCGTTAATTACTTCGCTTCTTTTTTTTTTTTTTTGTTTAGTTTGCGCAGCCAACAGCAGATGGTATTGGCTGCGCCCGCGCGCCGCCAACACCATGGAGGCTACCACAACCTGGTGCAGCGCGAAAAAATACGAGAAAAAATAAAATACCGAGTTCCAGGCCCCGCCACGAGGCGTCGCTGAAACTCGGCCCTCCGAAGGTGCGTGCTGCAGTGTTTCCAGATGGAGTGGTCGTAAGTATTCGCGACTCCAGCGAAATCGACGCCGCGTAGCGGCAGCGCCGGGAAGCTCAGGAAAGGAGGTCGTTTCGACTCCGTCGTCTGCTATCGCTGCTTGGTTCTCGTAGGCAGCATAGAAACAAACATCGTTTCCAGTAATTTTTCTCATAATTGCGCCGTGTCATTCCTAAGCAGTGACTAGAAGAAGGTTTTTACCTTCGAAAAATCGCTTTGCTTTCAAATGTAACACTGATTTTATGCTGCAGTGCAGGAATTTGTGGTGGTCCGCGGGCTGAACGACGAAAAAGACCTCCTTTCGTCCGCCATTTCGCCTGAGCAGCGCGCCCTCTCTAGTTCGCTGGAGTCGCGAATAGAATTGGTCGTGGGCCAGAGTGCCACGTAGAACACGCTTTTATCTCGTCGTTGTCTACCAGCTGGCAGCTGGGGCGCTAGCCGGTGGCTGACGGAATGTTTCACACCACATCTCCCCATTTTAAAGACTGCAGTGTACCGCTGAGGCAGTTGTAAGCAGCAGCCACTCTTGCTCTGGGCATGCGGGGTCCCTTGGCATCCTTGTGATGACAAGTCAATCGCCGGGATTTTATCGGCGTATGGAAGGAGATTAGTTCTGTTCCTCCAATCGGTGCCTTTATAGGTATAAGGCCTTCATAAGGCCTTCATAAGGCCTTCATAAGGCCTTCATAGGTATTCCTGGATCGCTAGGTTGGACATTTGAGAAAAGGTACATGGAAGTGACGTAATGCAAAGGAGGAGCGTATCCTAGCAACACTCACGTGGCGGCTCTGCCCACTTTGACGCCGCTACGTCATCGCAAACTTGACACCCGTCACCCGTTTCAGCGACGTCCGGAGCCAACCACCGACGAGCAGAAGTAGCTACGCATTCCCTGAGGCGTCCCTACGCGCGGGATACGGGGTAGGATTTACTACGACGCGGGGAGCAGTTCCTGCGTTTAGCGAAGGAACGGCAACCAATCCTGTGCGTCGCTGGCCGTCACATCTGTTCTAGTACAGGTAAAAGTATTGAAAAACAATCCAAACCTTTTGGGCGTTGTTAAAACAAACCGCTTTTTTGTACCCTTTTGCAATACATTTAAGAATTAATTGGAGAGAAAGTTGTTCCAATATTATGCGGGATGTGCGCTACGCGCCTTCTTCAAACCAAAATGTCGAACCACGAGGAGCCGGGTGTGCCGGGGGCAGCGGAGGGGTCGGCGGAACCAACGGGGAGCGCGCGAGTGACGGCTGCTTTAATCAGAAACAATTTTTTTATCTTTCGAGAACTTGCTATTGCTGTGCTCAAATAAGAATGTTTGGCGCAACATCTGTGACAATTCTTTCAGAGTGGTCCAGTGTTTATATGGCGGTATGCTAGTCAGGGAATATATATATATTTTTTTTTCCTTTCGAAATTTAACTATTGTGCTCAAATAAGACCAGAGTGTTCAACAAGATATCTGTGATATATACTTAAGATTGCCCAATTGCTTACATGGTTCCAGTCGATGCTCAGTTTTACTTCCAAGAATGAAATATTACATTCCATGTTATCACACTTTTATTCATGAAGTCACAGGTTTTTCTTTAAGAAATAAAGCAATTTTCAAAACAAACTACATGTGCACTGTCTTGAGATAACACAATCACCTAACTTTGATGAAGTACCATAAAAGAGATAATAAAATGGAGCAGAAGGCAAGACGCTTTGAAGCATTTGTAAAATGAAACAATGTCCTGGGGTGCTATTCTGGTCACAAACGGTCACGTTCGTGTTTCTCGAAAACTCCTCCCCCCTACGAACCGCGCGCTCCTATTGGCCACAGCCCGCGTGATAATTCCACGCGGTTCCCATGGGAACGTTCGCGAAACACGAAAGCAACCGTTTGCCGTAAATGTCTCTCTTCGAGTTCGGACCGTGACGACAAAGTGACGTATGACCACGTCCGACCCACGTAGCACATAGCGGAAGTCGCGTCACTAGATTAACTGCGGTATTACTCGACACACCCTACTCTCTGTTTCACTATGAGTGCGAGCTAGTGCGGGTGTAGGAGCTACAAGAACGTGCTCCGGGCTTTCAACGTCCCTGTCGAGCAGGCGCGCTTGCGCAGTGCAAGCCAACGTTCGTGCAAGATCGTTCGGGGTGATGCGCTCGTGCTTTTAACCTCTCTTTCTATTGCACGAAGCGGAACAAGGTTTGGGCAGGATTCTAGAGCGTAGAA